TTTAGGGTCTGAGGTGTAGGGTTTATGATTATGGATGGTTGAAAAAACCTGTGGTCACATCCTCGAAGTGTTTTATATAGTGGGGGTTAGGGTGTAGTGGTCACAGTTGTTAGGGTTGAGGGTTATCTTGGGTACCCTATATAGTTCGGGCTGTGTTATCAGGGGAGCCCCCCGAAAGGCCAGACTCTTGACAACAAGTACCTGGGAGTTTCTCAAAGTAGCCGGGGATCCCCACAATTCCGTTGCAGTCCCTATGGCTCGCTTCGGTTCCTGAGGGTGCCCACATTTGTGAGAAGAGGCCATATGAGTTATGGAACAAACTCCTTTAAGGGGGCTATATAGNNTATAGGGGATTATATACGGGAGTTTGAAGGGGATACTAGGAGTTTAGACTATGAATCATGGCTTTGTCCTAAAGCGGCATCTGGCAGGGATCATACCCAGGGATTCATGTTATCATGTTCCCATCCTAGACTCTAAGCCCGAAACAAGACCCTAAACCCTCAATCCCATGATCTAAACGGCAAACACTCAATCCGAAATCTCAACCCAAAGCTCTAAGCCTTCAATTCTGAACCCGCAAACCCTCAAACCCTCTCCCTGCACCCTGTAACCCTTAAGACCTAAACACCTTCAAACCCTAGGCCTGCTAACCCTCAAACCCTAAATCCCCTAGAGCCCTAGAAACCAAACCCAGAATCATAGTTTCCCAAAAAAGGGGGACCCCGATATAGACCCCAAAATACGAGAATCCCTATTATACGTTCCCCCCATAAGGGTACCCCTAATTTTGGGGAACCCCAAACCCTAAACCTTACATATCCTTATGTAACCCGTATAAAAACCCTATATAGCCATATAGCCCATATAACCCCCTTTAAAAGGACCCCACCCCCACCCCCCCCCAGGAAACCTTAACATTTCTGAACTGAGAGCCGAGGCAGCTCTCCAATCCTTGGTTCTGGGCAGGGAGCTCAACCCATAGGGGTTTTAGGGTTTTATAGGGGTTCAGGGGACTCAGGAGTTTAAGGGATTTAGGGTTTAGTGGTTGTAGGAGTTTTAGGGATGTAGGGATTGAGTGGTTTTAGGGATGTAGGGCTTTTGGGGTGTGGGGTTTTAGGGTTTAGGGCTTTGCGATTTGGGGTTTAGAGTCTAGGCTTGGGATCTAAAAGGGTTTTTTTGGTTGGGTTAGGGCCCCCTCGGAACAGTGGTACAATAGGAATCTATGTAATAATGATATTCCACCTTATCAGGGTGTTAGAGGGTTTAGAATCTCAGTTTTAACGTGTAGGAATTAATCCTGTCGTGTTTAGGGATTAGGTCTTGAGGCCTGAGGGTTGAAACTCCTCCTTAAGTAGATAGAATATGGCTTTAGGTATATTATAGTAAGATCCCCATATATCCCCTATTCTATCTACTTAAGGGGGACTATAAGCTTAGAAGTTTGAGGAAGTTTAGGGTGCCCAGGCACATAGTAGTCCCAAGGTTTTGTGGGAATGATTCTGGTTTTGGGGGTATGGATAAGGATTTTAGGGTTTAGGGTTTCGGGTTTAGGGTTTAGGGGTACCCCCCCCAAATTTCGGGAATTGCTCATATAGTCCAAGTTGAAGCTTCTGACAGGGTTAAGCCTGGTGTGAGTCGAGTCGTTGCCCGAAACCCTAAGCCCTGAACTCAGACCGCCTCATAAGGTTATGGTGGGCAGAATACTTGGAGGGTCAGGTGGACTTCCTAAGTCTTGGTAAGCATACTTACAGTCGTATAGGCCACATCCGACTCGTAAGTCGTAAGCCTGCTTACTAGGTCTTCCTGGTCCTTTGAGTAGTGTGTGGGACCTGACCAAGTGACGACAACTGTGGTCCTTGCCTAGTCGCATCTGGCTCAGGCAACATGATCCCTGCGTGTGGGGTTTAGGTTCGGTTTGGCTCTTTCAGTGGGGGGCCCTTCGCAATTAATCCTTAATAATGGAGAACCCCTCATTATTCAGCTACATGCCGCACATGTCCCTAGGGGCCCCGGCAGGGTACCCCTGTTTTGGGAACCCTCATAGGTTCAAAGGTTGCTGAGCCAATTTACGTGGTATATTCCCAACATATTTTGCATGCAAATCTACGCGACATGAGTTTTTGTTGGCTCTTTTTTCCCTTGTCAACTTGACATCAGCAAGGTGTTGCCAAGCCTGAGCGCGTTTGCGTGGCAGCCTCAGTAACTTTTTGTTGGGGCTCCAGGGGTCGAAGTACCTGAAGATCCAGGTTTTGCCACACCTAAACCCTACATCCCCCTTCTATCTCCCCTACAGCCCGTTTAAAGGGACCCGTGATTTTAGGCAACCCCCAGTTTGGCAGGTTTGATCATCATGGTGCACAACGTTCAGAGTTGAAGGGCTGGGCTCTAGGATAGATATGGCGGCGTGCTTCAGGTACAAAACGTGTCTGCATGTAGGGGTTGTTCTAAAGGTCCTAGTAAGGAAGGGGCCATTGGGAATACGCTTCCTTAAGAAAGGGATCCTAACCAAACAGTGAACTTACATTATGGCCATTTAATAACTCAGAGACACGTATTTTGAACAGCTACCATTTGCCTAGCCCTCATCCTAGAGTTCTCTTGTGGATGGCATCTCAACAATAGCAATACTGGTAAATGTTTGTTCCAAATTGTCTAGCCAGCTACATTGCAGAGGAACATATCCCTGAGCGCTAAGCCCAAAACAGCAGCTTCCATGTTTGTCCAGAATCCTTATATAGTCCCAATAGCATATAGTAGTATTCATGACCTTTATCATTCTGCCCCTACATCTCAAGGCGTAGGCCGCCCACCTACACTGGTGGGCGGCGCCTCAGCCCCGCCGTCGATGGCATAAGATCATGCACACATGCGTGATCTCTGAAGCCTCCTCATCCTTCCCACTGCACCATTTCACATCAAACCTTAAGCCCTGCACCCGAAACCTTGAACCCTGAATCTGAACCTTAAGCCCTAAACCTCAAACCCATAAACCCTAAACCTCAAACCCTAAACCCTAAATCTTAAACTGTGAACCCTAAACCTCAACCGCAGGTCCACATCTTTGCGTTGGAGCAAGAATTGACAGGCCTGCAGGCCGCCGGTCCCTCAGCAGATTTTTTCCAGGGGTTCTATGATTCGAGTGCGTTAGGGTTTAGGGTTAAGGGTTTAGGGTTCTGGGTTTTGGGTTGTTATGCGGTTTAAAGTTCAGTGTTTTCCGCTTTAGGCTTGCAGTGGCTTAAACCCTAAACCCTCATTGAAGGGTTGAAGGTCCTTGAGGGGCTCTGAGGTTTAGGATTTTAGGGGTGTAGGAGGCAGGGCTTTAGGAGCTCAGGATATAGGACCCAGAGTTTAGGGCTTAGGCATTCATGGTGTTGCGGTTTAGGAGTTAGGGTGTGTAAGGTAAGGGTGTAGAAGTGTAGGGCTTCATCAAAAATGAGCGTTCAAATTTGGTGGCTCAGCGATGTTCACGGTGGGCCTGACTCAGGTGGATTGTAAACTAGAAGCTCCCCAGGGAGCTTTCAAAAATACACGATGTCTGAACGATCCCCAGGAACTAATTTCCTTAAACAATACCTGTATGTCCCCAGGGTCCGTAAGGGCAACGCCCATTTTTAGACACCTTGATCTTGCAGATCACGGATTTTCTTCCAAGACATACCCTCTCCAACAGAACATGGAAACGCCGCAATGGCCTTACAAAGATTCTATGCCCGTGAAAGGTGAGCAACATGGAGTTGAAGGCTGTATACTCCGTGCAGATTTTGCCAGTGGTCCTTATGCCTTATACCGCATGGGCACCCTAAAGATGAAAAGTGAGATTTGTATTCATGCGCCTAGAAGACTTAAGAGCCATTTTCTTGCGGCAGGGTCCTTACCATTGTTTGGGAGTACCAAAATGTGGGTTGCTGTTCAGGAACTTAATCGCGTTATTATGATAAGGAAACCCTATTGACTATTTACTATAAACCCATATCATGTTCACTTAACACCCTAGACCCAAAACACATACCCAGATTATGGTAACCTAACTCAGGTTCCTTAACAGCAACACAGAAATTCCCTCATTCAGGCGATGGGCTGCAGCTTCAAAGATCGGCTTGCACAGGCTTGCAGGCTTTGTGTGTCGGGTTTACGGTGTCGTATCATTGTGTACTACCTGAAATGCAAGGTCCTTATCTAGGCGGACTCCCAAAAGGGGGTGCCCATAGCTTTGAGAAATCCCCACGCTAAACAATTGGATCTGAATGATTTTGTTTTGTGGCTCGTTTTCTATGACTCCCTGACTCCTGCCTCTTTCACGTGCTCCTACTTCAGCAACAGACCGTAAGACAATGTCAGAAAGATCTAACACAGCCCGAATTTGCGGCACAGCTAAGAACTCGGAATTTCAGAGTTTCTCAAAAGGTTTCCCTATGGAACGCTTAAGAGTGGTTCCTAGAATCTCCTCCTCCTCGCTGGAAACTTCTGGAGTCCCTGATGGTACGTCTTTTTTTTTGCAGTATAGGGGTATAATATAGGGGTTAGATAGGGATAATGGAAAATAACATGGAAACTACTATTTAGGGTTTAGGGTTAAGAGCCCCATTTGAGGGCTGGGGTTGCAAGGCAAACCTGGTGAGTTTGGTCCAAGCACTGTCTTGAAAGGACTTGTGTCAGGCATCCTTTCACGGGGTTTTAACTCTTGCCGTGTATACTGCTGAGAAGAGCAGGGTATTCCAGGAGTCAACCTGGGAAAAGCACACCTTTCCGGAAGGATGCGGACGACCTTCTAAGCATGCTGATTGGTGGTGGGCCTGGCTCGGATTGCGTTCCTTAAAGAAGGACGCACGGATTTTAAGACCTCAGGATCACTTACAGGGTCACCATAGTATTACCAATGTATTCTGTGCAGCTTCCTTGCAAATGCTGCCGACATGTTTGACAGCTACCCAGACGCTCGACGCATGGTCTTGTCCGTCTGCTTATAGAGCGCAAGAGCGTGGGAGCATTGTCTCTGCAATGCTGTTGTGTTAAGGCCCAAGATTGTTGCTTTGTTTGCCAGGTGTCCATCAAAGTTTGCCTTTACTTGCCTGGTGAGGTATCATAGGACCCGTAAATTCGACAGGACTCCAGGCAGCGTTGTATTTATGAAGGGGCTATGAAATGATTGTATTCCCAAGCGTTTGGTTTCCCAATGTTTACGCCCGTGACAATTACCCTCCCCTAGACAAACGAGGACTTGTTAAGTAGTTAAGTAGATAAATGATGGGGATGTTGTAGGGGTTGTAAGTCTACTCACCAAATTAAGTCCATCAGTGGAAAGTCGAATGCAGAACCAAGTGGAAACTAGGAGTATACAGGGATTAGATAGGGACATCAAGGCCAATGCGAAAGACTATGCCAACTGCTATATAGTTGGTGTCTACTTCGAAATCATGATTTGCTGTTCTGACAGGCTCCACTTCTTAAATTCCAGATTTGCGGGGGTAGGTTGTTGATAGTGGGAGCACTTCTTCATGACAAGCCTGGGTTGCAACTTGAGTGCGTCCCCGCCAGTGGCTTTTTCACAAGTTCCCCATGGGTACAAGCATCTACGTCGTAGATACTTTAGGCTCACATGCATTCCTGTATAGATAATCTGAATTCCCAGTAAAGGCTCCCGGGGAACTAAATCTTCAGGCTTGCGCTTTCCAGGGCTTTTGGTTCGGGCCTCAGATAGTGAGGTCAGGGGGTGGGCGCTTGCACATCCAGCGCTCACTTGCCATTTGCTTACTTCAGAAGCCCCACTTCCACGCAAAATCCACTTTGCTTTTCAAGTGCGATGCGTCCCTATTTGGGCCAAACGATCTTTGAAAGTGGAGGCTTTCATTCGGCAAGGTGTGCCCGGAATGCTAGTGCGACTTGCAAGGGACTGGCACCAGATTACATGTATCCGTCTAATACAAAAACTCCCAATGGTTTTGGTTTCGATGGGTCATACAGGACTTTCACTAGCAACAGCAGTATTCCGAAATAGTGGTGTCCGCTGATTGTGCAGTTTGTCTTTCTGGGCCAAACCCTAAACCCTTAAGCCCTAAAGCCCTAAACCCTGAAGCCCTAAAGCGTAAAGCCCTAAACCCTAAACACCTTGCAACCGGAGAAAGCTGACCATTTTTCAAACCTTGAAGCTTTGCCCTGGACTTGTTTGGGGCTTTGAGTTTCCCAAAGCCCGAGCCCTTGTAACCCTGAAGACCCCGAACAACTGGGTTGCTGTTAAGGAACTTGAGTAGGGTTACCAGAATACGGAGTCCCTATTAGTTAGTATGTACCAATATTATGGTAACTTAAACCCTAAACCCTCTATGCCCATCTTATGATGACTTAATTTAAGTTCCTTAACGGCAACCCAGAAAATGGCAGGCGTGGCCGTGAGACTACACATCTTTACGAAGTCTGAGGCGGGATCTCTGAAGTTGATCTTGACAAGCGATACAAGGTTCTGTGTAGAGTTGAGGGTTAAGGGCTTAGGGTATAGATTTTTGGGGTTTTATTAGAGGTTATATGAGGTGATATAGGATTAGGTTGACGCGTAATGTAGCCGCTGCCATGTGAATTTTCCGACGTGTCTAAGAAGTGGCATTCTTTGGATTGTTGCAGCATGTCTGTTGTAAAAATGACTTAACAGGTAAGGGGCCTTTCCCAGTCCACATGAAGTATCCGAGTCATCAAGCGGGAGGTTTTGTAGGACCCATCTACAATCCAGCCAAAATTCATCATGTAATATCAGATCTCCCCTGGGTCCCAAGACGCACCCCTTTGTTGAGAAACTCACACTGAGGGTTACATATTGAGGATAGACAAGGACCCTGTACTGTGTTACTCCATGGTATGTGGGGAGCTTCCCAGGTGCAAGATGTCCTCCATCCACCGGAGCTTCAAGACACCATTGGAGCTTCCCTAGGCATACATGGGGCCTTCAAAGCTCAAGGACGATCAAGGGTTATCACTTCCAGAATTTTACAGTTTGAGTCGTTCAACAAGTTTTATAAGCTAAACGGTTGTGGATTTCGGTGCTCTCATAAAACATGCCTGCAATGTCAAACAAGCACCCTACGTGTCCCACGAAACATGGCATGGAAATTAAGTAGTCCCCTTGCAAGAGAGCAGTAGTCTTTCTGGGGAAGTTCTGGGGGCTGCTCAAAACCTAAACCAGGATCACGTGTTGTTGCCTGGCAATGCCAGCAGACAAAGACTCAGCTCCAAATTTAGGAATCTAGTGTTTAGAGCTTAAAGGTCTATATTGGGGGTATATAGGGATAATGGAAAATAAAATGGAAACGACTATAGTATTGAGAATAGGGTCTTTTTAGCTGTTATATTGGGGTTACATAAGGCTTCTCAAACTTGGGTCTCAAGAGGGAACCGCCTTGCTGGAGATGTGATCCTTGGGGTTTTTGTCAAAGCTGGGGTCCCTAGTAAGTTTCATGCAGCATGATGTCGTCGGCATTTTCAGGACACCAAACACTGGCACAAAGAGTTGAGAACCCCCCTCCTTTGCTTCTTTCAGTCCTACAACTCCAAACCCGTTGGAAACAATTGTGGGGGCAGGTGCTCTCGGACGCATTGGCCGTCGACGCTGGCGTCACTGTGGAGGTTCTGCGGTGTATAGGGAGCTTTGGTTTCACCTGTAGGGCTACTTCAAATCAGATACTTGAGAAGGTGTATCTTATCTTTAAAAGCCTATGTAGCTTTTGAGTCGCATTTTGTGCACGTAATCTCGGAGAGCTCTACCAGGTTTTAAGGTTCAGGGTGTAGGGTATAGCGTATGCAACATCCCTGCGAGCCCCAAATAGATTCAACGGAGAAGCTGATCGAAAGACATTGTTCCTGCATCTCTCAATGCGAGCTTCCAGAATCTCAAACGGGCCCTTGAGAAACCGTACACGAATCTAAAACTCTAACGCGTGATCATCCTCACAAGTCTTCCTCCTTACAAGAATCCCCTTTATGCCTTGGGCTCTAGCAAGGTCAAAATACTAGGTCAAAATATTGGATACAAGTCTAGACTGCTACTATTCGAAAGCTTAATATGGAACATGCAGTTACATGAGCTCTAGCCTGAACTCCACAGTACTCCCCTATATAAGCCCCTTTAAGGAGTTTAGATTATGGCTCACATGCGCTTTGCTATCCCAAAACGGACCCAGCCATGCGCGGACCTCGGCAGACGTACCCCTGCCAGCGCAGGCTGGCGATCTGAACGCTCCGCACAACTTTGTGCGCTTCTACCTTGCCAAGTGGATCCCCTATGCGAAGAGGACAAGTGTTTGGGGGTCAACCCTAGATCCTAAACCCTAAATCTTAAGCCCTAAATCCTAGGGTCTTGGGGTTTCAGGATGTCAGGGTTTGAGGCGTTTGGAGTTTCGGGTAGCAGCATTAGGCTTTTGTTTTTTAGTTCGATGAGGATGGGCGTAGGGTTGGGTTTGGGTATGGCTTTTCATGGGCGTGTAACGCAAGGAGGGAGATAGAGAGATGATAGACATATAAGCACAATTTAATCACTAGCATCCTAGGAATCGTTCCCTGCCCCTTTGCGAATCTGGCAGGTACCATCAGCCCCTTACACATGCATGTTGATGCTGGCAGTCATAGCATCTCGTAATCAGCAATTAGTCTCACCACTCCTCCTAATGAGAAAATCCTCACATACACACACCTTGACATTTCTATACAGCGTTGAGGGAATTGGGAAGGAAGGTTTCATACTTGTGCTTGGCAGATCTATGTGCGACCTGCATGACTTGAAGGGTTTGCAAAACAAGTACTTATTGTGTTACTAGTACCATTGCTATTGCTATTTCTATTTTGGCAAGGATCGTGTACCTTGACACCGACGTCATTGTCAAAGGTGATGCTGAAGTCTCAGTAGGTCTCGTGTACAGACTAACGACGTGTAAGGTTCATGCAGGGGTACATGGGCTTCAGGATCTAGCGGATCCATGGAGTTTATTGCTAGAATTGGAATTGTGAATCCTTTCAAGCGACCATGAGAACTTAAGCAGCTGTTCTTGTTTGCGAATAAGGTAGAAATTTACTGGTGGGCAGAAAGGACTGGAGGAACCCATCTCTAAAGATCTCTAAAGTATTCCCTAGAATCCTATGAAGCCTGCAGCACCCATCCCCACATTCATACCCTGCTCCCCACCAGAAACTGGGAACAGTAAGTCCTAGCTTCGCTGTTGTGTCTGTCTGGTACAGCCATGACAAAACCCCAAACCTGAACCCTAAAACGCTGGTCCTCGACGGTGTTGCAGAATTTGGAAGCGAGCCGTGGGCGCATTGGATTGGATGTGTGGGGTTGGAAGACCATGGTTCAGACTTGAAGTGTTGGGTAGAAGGCTAGTGGAATTCCATCTTTCATAGTCCTTGACTGACCTTCTCGTAAAAATCTTGCTTTGGGAGTCACCTCTTTGCAATGCTCATGTTCTGGACCGGAGCAAGCATCCACCTAGGTAGAATGTGCGTGGCCGAAAAGTACCTAGAGAAAGCCTTCAGGCGTCAGCTGCACAATATTTACATACTTGGAGTGGAAAGACAGAACAAGTGCCAACAACAAACGAAGACGTGAACTTGAAACCCAGGCACTCTCTAAAATCCTCAATCATGAATCCAACCCTAAACCCAGAACTCACACCCTTACCCTGAGGTTCCAAGTGCCCTATATTAGGCAACCTGTTCTATTGGGGCCCAAACCGCCTGCACGGATCCTAGTTACTTGGACCCTTAGGGTCAGATCCTGTTCCCAAGCCATCCCCCAGAAACAGCCCAGACAAGGTCTGCGAGCTTCACGATTCAGTTTTCCAGGAAGGCTACGCCGTTTCTGGCAAGGCAGGGGTCGAACTTGACCTTCCAGGTCCCAGTTGAAAGGGTGAGAAAGTGCTTCACAGGACAAGGAAGTGTTGGGCTTAGCATTTCTGGAGTACATGCTTGCAGGCTGAATCTGTTGAAGCTACTGCTTTGCACAGGGAGTTTGAAGACGGGATGGCTGAAGTGCACTTGTTTTGCAGGTTCGAGCTGAGACTTCAGCAGCTGAGGGCTCCTTTTTGCAGGGTCTTTAGGGTCAAGGGATTTAGGCGACATACTTGACTAGTTGAGAGTTGGCTGGCGAAGGACGAGGGAGACGACACGACCGAAGCACCGATTCCCCAAACCATCTCAACAAGGCTGAGCTGTCACTCCAAATAGAACCTGAGACGAATACTGTGTCTTATTTGAGCTATAGTATGATCCTATCATTGACTATACCCACACTACAGCAGCCCTAAACCCTAAACCCTAAACCCTAGAAAACAAAGTATAGTAACTTAGTTTACGTTCCTTAACAGCAAGCAAGTTGCGGCGACAGGTCCTAGCTGCAGTGCCTCGCCGCCATCTACCGCTATCCTTCTACCTCAAGGCCTGGCGGTTGAAAGTTGCACACGACTAATCCTTGCATGAGCTTTAGTCTACACTCCTTAAAGGGGGGCTAGAAAGGGGATTACAAAAGGTTGAGGGTTTAGGGTCAAAACTCCTTATAGGGGGTTATAGAGAGGATTGCATAGGGGAGTATAAGGGTTTTTAAAGGCATACTAGGAGTTCAGACTATAGCTCACATAGGCCTGAAGAGGGTTTAGGGTTTAGGGATACAGCCTCACAATCTCCTGATAATCCGATCGGAATCCTCACAAAAAGCCCTTCCCTAAAAGCCGGTTTAGGGATTAGGGATCTGCCCATCTGACCGTCTGCAGATCTATCTTAGGTACTTACCAGACGTCAGGAAGGGCTTGTTATTTAGTTACCTTGGCCCTACTGACCCTACGGAACTTTTGAGGCTAGGGATATCTACCGCGCAAAGAAAAGAGATTGCCGCGAAAGGCGGATTCCCGAGGATCTAAGTCATTACTCGAAAGGACTGGCGGGATAAGCTGATTAGCTGATCATCTGATTATTAACCCTAAACCTTAAACCCTAAAGATCAGATCAGGCCTGGGAGGCGAGACTGGAATTGCATGTCGGTTGATACCAAACTGCCTGTATACTTGCTGCACGCTACATTTTACGTAGGGTTTAGGGTTACGGTTACAGACTCTGTGAACCGAGAATTGGATACCAGTATGACCCCCAACCGGGCCCTAAACCCCATGATACCAAAGCCTATGCCCTCAAGCCTAAGACCCTAAGTCTAGACCCCTAGCCTCAGACCCTAATCCTCAAACCCTAAACCCTAAACCCTAATCCGTAGGAGACGCTATTAAAACCCCTACGTCCTATGGAGCCCAGGTCTTCAGCCCGCGAATGCCTATCTGGGTGCCATCGTCCGCTCCCAGCTTCAATGCAGGCCACAAGGGTTTGTCGATTTGGGCTTGGGATACATAGTGGGGATACATAGGGGCTTAGGAGTGACATGCACACGCTGTAGGGAGGGCTTGGAATTATTGCTATTATTGCAGAAAATGTCTTTCCAAGCATTGCAGGTGACTACGGCGCATGCGAGGTTTTGTAGTAGCCAATCACAGATGGGTACTGTAGTTCGAAGTGGGTAGCTCCCATGGGCCTTTTATACAACTCCCACAAGGTACTAGGCCTTACGTTGCTCTTTGTGCGAGTGTTGTGGGGACTGCCCACCTGATAAATACCCAACTGTAGATGGCTTCAACACAGAAGTTAGGGCTTCTTCCACTCCCCGACTAGACTCAGGTTGTGTTCTGTCGATTTGCTCGTCCCTATTCAACTATGAAACGTTCTAAGATTGGCTCGGACTTGCGCCATGTAATGCCGAAGCGTGAAAAATCGAAGAGCTTTGTCTTTCTTGTCTTCATATCCTTACAGGCTTATAGTATGATCTACCGCAAGACTTGTTCCAATTAGGTTGTCATCCGCCTACCTTGCGTTAGCTAGGACTGACTTTGTCCAAATATCCAGGGCGTATCAATGGGTAGGAGGTTCGGACACGTTGCAAGTTTGAAGGTTGAGATGGTTAAGAGTTTCATTGGTTTGCTCGTGAAGCATTCTGCAGCCCTAGGACATAGAAGCTAATGTTTCAGAGGCATTTCTGTGAGAGACCTCCATTTGAGACGCCCAAGTGCTTGCCTTTGGTTAGCTGGGGATGCAGGAATGGAAAAGAAAATGGAAACTACTACAACGGGTTGTATGGGGACTACTATAAGGAGCCATTCGTTCATTCCAAAGGCCACAGTAATCCCAACCTCAGCGGGTCTGCATCAACATCTTGACCAACAAGTGCCACTTGACTCTTCAGACCCTCAGGCCTCGCTGATGCCTGTGACCCTCCAGCCTTTCCATCATAAGAGAACCGTAGAGCACACTACACGTAAAGTTCCTGCATGACCCTCACTAGCGTGAACCTTACGAACTACGGCACTATACCAAAGTCATGCAGGATTTTTGGGTATCAA